GCTCACAGTTGATCATCAGATGGATGAGATTGGTTTCAAATCTTCTCAGATGCAAGTTATATGATGTGATAGACGTCAAGTCGTACCCCAGCTAGCTCCAAGTTGACTCAAAATGTTTTGGAGTTAAGTGAGTCACGCTTTTCCCCCTTGATTTTTACCATTTTGACACTTCCATTGAATAAACATCACTCTCGATTCATTTTATCTCGCGCTCGCTTCATTCCTGAGGGCAGTTCTTCATTTGCCTTGAATTTTTAGACGGGAGTACCAGTTTTATACGGATTGTAGTTTACTTTTGAAATAATTACTTCAAAACGAAATATTTCACACAAAGGTGCTACATTCTTTTCACAGGAAAAAACAGTGTCATAGAATGTTGTTTCTTTTTCATTCAGGATCAAATCAATGTAAGAAGGTCGAAGAGCTCCGAAGTAAATTATCCCGCAAATCATAGAGCATCTTTAGACAGTGCATAATGAGCGTCATCATCATGATAAAAATATCTAACAAATGGATAGGATAACAAAAATCCCGATTCCATGAGATTAATTATGGACATGAATGTTTGATATTTGATGGATTTCAATAGCTGACGATGAATGACAGAGTATAACACTAGCGAACACCTAAGCGCACAGCCATATTCGAAACTGAAAAGAAAGTGGACAAAGTTACATAAGCACAGTGGGCAACCAGGCGGACATGACCTCAAGTTCCATTTTCCAAAATTTAAATATTGGAATGAATACATCTATGGTTAGTCTATCTTACCTTAAAACCAAATTTTCAAAAAACAACTCGAACCCTGGAAAAACTCATCGACAAAAAAATTGGTCAATAATCGGTAATTTTACGGAAGCCACTCTTTTGATCAACTTATCAAAGTAGTTTGAAGGGAAAAACTATGCAGAATGAATTGTTGATCCATGAACTTTACTGTATCAAAAATTGGTTTGGCTTGAATCAGATTTTCAATAGAAAAGATATGATTACTGGGCCCAATGTGGGTCGAAAAAACGGTCATGTCGTATTTTGTAAACGCTACAAAGAATTTTGATCCGATTGAGTTCAAACTTTCACCGATTATTCTCCCATGTTTGATGTATCGTTGCTCATAGCATCGTGCTGCATCAGTGAGCACAGACCGAGTGAGAGGTTTTCCAAAAAACCAGGTTTCTACCCAGGAATCGCTAGGTTTGTGTATATGAAAATATTTTGACGGAAAACTAAGATGATATTCGAAATCAGCTCGTCGAGCTGCATCGAATCATATATAGCAGTAAGTGCTTCTGAGAAAAAAAGTCGGTTTCTAGGAATCGGCAAGATTTTGAAAACCAGCCTTTCCGTATTTTGTAAACGCTACAAAGAGTTTGAGTCCGATTGACCTCAAACTTTTGCTGATTGTTCTTTCATGTCTGGTACATCGTTCACCATAGCATCATCTCACGCCGATGAGCATAGCCGGTGCTACGAGCTTCCCAAAAACCTAGGTTTTTGGCCCTAAATTCCTGTTTTTCACAATAAGACATCGTTTTGATGCAAAACCAAGGTGATATTCGGAATCAGCTCGTCGAGTTGCATCGAATCATGTATAACAATAAACATTTTTTCAGAAAAAAAATTGGGGCTTTTGCTAGATATAGCTTCGGAAATTGGTCATTCCATATTTTGCTAACCCTATAAAGAGATTAAGTCCAATTGATCTGAAATTCTAACCGATTATTCTTCTATATGTGATATATCGTCGGGCTTAGCGCCACCTCGCGCTGAGGAATCCAGGCTACGCTAGAAGTTTTCCAGAAATCCAGGCTTCTGCCTCTGAATCCCTATTTTCTCGATTCCGATAGCATTGTGGCGCAAAATGAATGTGATATTCGGAATCAGCGAGCAAAACTGCATCGGATGACGTGTGACACAAGACATTCCCTACCAAAAAAAGTTTTTCGACAATCTGGGCAAGGGTTCCCCTCAGGTGTGTCGCCCCGAAAATTTTTTTTTTCCAAAAAATGCTTTATTTTCGTAAATTCGATTTTCTGAGTAATATGCACACACTTCTGAGAAACGGCAACCTGTTTCAGAACACAAAAGTGACATGTCCGCCTGCTTCATGAAAGTTGCCCACTGTGATAAGAAACACAAGCAAGTTCGGATTACACTATGTATTAGATAAAGTATTCTTCATTAATCTGATAATTAACAACTAAAGTCACATTCATGGTCATCAACTATAGTACTACTCTGATGTTTTCAACGCCTGCCGAATAGTGTGTAACTAATCAGCGATATGTTCGAACATGTCTTGTTTGATCCATGTTGGTGTTTTTAATATTTATCCTCTGCCAAATACATACAACGGCGCCAAGTTCGTTTCTTTTAAAACAAGAAGATCAGCATCATCGCCTTCAGCCAAAAATCCTTTTTCTTTCAAGTTGAGCTATCTTCCCGGATTTTATGTTGAAAATTGGATGGCTTCTTCAATAGGCCCTGAATGCTGTAATACTAAATTTTGTATTGTTTTCAAAGTCGAATCTGGAAGACTCATGCTATAGGAAACAAGAGGGTGTGGGTGTGGGTGTCGGTGTGGGTGTGGGTGTGGGTGTGGGTGGGTGCGGGTGTGGGTTTGGGTGTGGGTATGGGGTGTGGGTGCGGGTGTGGGTGAGTGTAAATGTGGGTGGGTGTGGGTCCGGGTGTGTCTGGGTCTGGATGAGCTCTTCAATGATACCCGTACGCATTCCGACATCCACTCACACTCACACTCACATCCACACCATAGCCCTTGAGGACCTGTGGGTATTCCCATAGGACAGCCATTGAGGACCTATGGGTGCCCGCATATGATAGCACTTGGGAACCTACGGGTACCTCCATAGGCTAGCCCTTGAGAACCTATGGGTCCCCCACATAATAGCCCTTGGGAATCTATGGGTACCCCCATAGAATACCCCTTGAGCAACTATGGGTACCGCCATAGGATAGCTCTTGAGGGCCTATGGGTATTCCCATAGGATAGCCCTTGAGGACCTATGGGTACCCCCATAGGATAGTCCTTGAGGACCTAGGGGTACCCCCACATAATAGCCCTTGGGGATCTATGGGTACCGCCATAGAATAGCCCTTGAGGGCCTATGGGTATTCCCATAGGATAGCCCTTGGGGACCTACGGGTACCACCTAGCATAGCTCTTGTGGACCTATGGTTACCCCCACATGATAGCCCTGGGGGATCTATGGATACCGCCATAGAATAGCCCTTTAGGACCTATGGGTACCCCATAGGATGGGTGTGGGTGTGGGTGTATGCTTGTCGGTGTGGGTGTGGACGTGGGTGTGGATGTGGGTGTGAGTGTAGGTGGGTGCGTCGGTGTGGACGTGGATGTTGGGTGTGGGTGTGTGTGGGGTGTGGGTGTTTTTTCACTTGACTCACACCCACACCCATCATTCATTCGAAAAGGTATATATTGCTGTTTAATGTTAAAAACTCATCTTTTCTTTTTCACCCCACAACAATAGATTTTTGTTATTGTACCAATGGAGCCGACATATTTAACGTCCGTCTGAGTATTAGTACACATTATTAAAGAAAAGAGGTCGCACGTTTCGAGAAAAATGATCAGAAAGAATGATCGTGATTCACGGTCACGGACACAGGCACGACACGGGACCAAAAATCTTGGTCACGCCGAACACTAGGTAGGATTCCCACAGAATCACCCCTGTTCGAAAAATATGCGGTTGCGACTGATGGCGAATCCATAATTTTATGATAGTGTTTTTCTTCGCTGTATTTTCATCATTTTTCTGGACACTGTTGAACAATGTGTATAAGATTGAATGTAACCTTCCATGTTCGGTCTTGTCATAGACAAGGAAGAAAATGTTAACAGAAGAATCCTTCCGGAACGTTCTAAAGCCTTTCGAAAGAACATGATGCCTAATAAACGAAGCTTCTCAATAGGTACGGTAAATGCAGGAAAAGACTTTGACATTATGAGTAGCAGCATTTCATTATGTAGGTTCTGAAGCACAGTAAGAAAATAGTGAAGTAAGCAAAATTGAGTAATAATGATCGAGTGCCGTCGGGAACCGACAGTAAACGTTGTGTTGGTTTGAGAGAGAGCACTGGAGCATACGACCGCTAGTTGCGATGCTCACAGCGGCAAAATTGAAGTAACTTATGACATAAAAGAATGAAATGAAATGAAGAGAGATGAATTGTAAAAGCATAGTAACTATTGAATAAGAGCGAAAAGTGCCGAAAAGATGAGAAAATTACAAGAGATCTCGTAATCACATTATAGATAGAGAGAACGTTCCACTTGTGGTGTTCTTGATTTACAGAGATTCTTCTGTGTCCATTCACTGTTTTCCTTTAATGTAGAACCTGATAGTTAATGTGAGCTTCACATTTTTGCTCTATGAGGGGCGGCGTTGATAGGCTATTTCTATTTTCTATGTACGTGCACGTAAGATATATTAAATGCTGCATCATGTTCGTCAGCAACACTTTGATAAAGCATATTAAAGGTGTGAGTTTTGCATTGTAACCACATAGGAGATTGCTGATAAGCTTTTTCTCAAGGCAAGTATATATATACTCACTTGTACTCTGCAGATAACGTCATTCTAAACATTTCTCTGGTTCTCCACACTGACTACTAGCTACGTATCTACCACACATGGGTCATATGCCAGGCTTATTATTGACTGTATTGGCTGTTGTAGCGTTCTTTAGTGTTTCGGCAGATGTTGTAATGTATACTGTCACTTTTGTTCCATGTGTTTTGAATTCAAGCTGTCCTGAAGGAAATCCATCTCGCTTCAATCAGACTTTCGCTGTGAATGGTATCATCAGTCCAAAGCTATATTTACGCGTTGGTGATAAATTAGTATTTAATTTGGCCACAAATGTTCCAATTCACCCGTTATCAATCTGCCGACACAGTCCATTACCCAAATTCTGCGCTGGAGCCAATGGTACTAATCTACTCAATACTCCAATTACTGTAGAAGGTGATTGTACTTCTTTTAATTTCACTACCGCTGGCACTTATTATTATGGATGCAATTATCATCCTGGAATGGGCGCTACGATTATTGTATTCCCAACTAGTACTGATAGTTCATCATCATCAGCCCATTCCTCGGCTGGTAGCAGTTCAATACCGGTATTGAAAGCGCGTACTCGCGTTGAATATCAGTAATCTGCACTATCTTGCTCATTAATATAATCCCTTTACTTCCAATGATTTTCATCTAATGTCGGTGCTTTTCTCATCGACTTGAAGTTTCTCTATTTATTATTCTGTGGGTTTTGATTTCTTTTCCCAACAAAGGACAGATGTATAGAAGCCAAACCGAGCGGACAACCTGCCATATTTTTCCTTTATTACCATCGCATCAAATTAATTATTCTGCTTCATTTCTTTTTGCTATTTTTCATTATCTCGCTCTTATCAACTTTTTCTTCTTTTTATCAGTGAGCGAATAAAAGATTTTTAGAAGACAAGAAAGTCTTATATAGCTTTTGACACTAATTATATATCTATCAGACATTCACATCATTATTAAAAATGCATGCTTATTCTGCTTGTCTTGGCACAGTTACTTTGTTACCTCATATATGAGCACATGATACACATTTTCAAGAACTCTTTTTTGTACCAGAATAAAAAATACAATACTACGATACACAAACAACTCAACGATAAATTTCTTGCTACATATTTCAAGTTTTTGATTTCCTTCACTCACAACTCCAATTTTATGAGAGAGACAGGAGAGAACAAGTCACGTGCATTGGGTGCTGATTCACTTGGCCGTAGATTGATAGCTTGCAGAGTACTTTCATATTAACTACTAGAAACTAGAATAGCTGGAACCGAATGCACTTCTCTCTGTTTGTTTAATTTGACTACATACCGTGATCTTCGATCCTCTAGAGGTTCTTTTTTCGTCTTCAATCGTTACTCTGCTTCTGTAATTCGCTTATCTTCTTCATTTCATTTTTTCTGTGGTCAGCATTAGTTTTTGGTGTGCGTGTGGGTTTGGGTGTGGGTGTGAGTGAGTATGTAGGTATGGATGTGGGTGTGGTGTGGGTGTGGGTGTGGGTGTGCCGGTGTGGGGTGGATGTGGGTGTGGGTGTGGGTATGGTGTAGCTATCATGAGGGCTTGAGTGTGGGTGTGGGTGGGAGTAGCTATCTTGAGGGTGTGGGTCTGATTACTTTCTTCATCAACCCCAAACAACCAGATTCATACCTGTACCTCATACCCTTGTTATTTGGAATC